GGGATATTTCATGTCGTACTAAAATCTAAAACAAAGAATAAAAATAGGCGGACTCACTATTTGATTTCATTTATATACTGATTGGAGTAATTTCCATACTACAGTGTGTGATGTCGAGGGCGCTGTGAATAGAGTGCAAAGAAGTTGTATGAAAGGAAAATTAATACAATAAAATTTTAAAAAATTATTCCAATAAGAATAAAATAAAACAAAATAAATAAAAATTAAGTTAAAATAAAATAAAATAAATATAAAATAAAATAAAATAAAAACAAGTATAAAATGAATAAAATAAAATAAAGAAGAATAAAATACATTAAAACAGGCAGCATTACAAGTATAATAAGTGAAATATATACTAATGCTTTCATACCATCGGATTTCGGTGGGTCCTATGATCGGAAGTCATCGGATTACCTCGGATCTTATAGCCGGATGCAATCAGATCCTGTTCTCGAAATCCAATGAAATCCGACGGCGGGAATCGTCGGAAATCAATGGATAATGATGGTTTCCGACAGTCGGAACCGACCGGATGCCGACAGTTGGGAAAGCATCGGATCCTGTTGGGAAGGTTCGACCTGGGATAGTTTACTGGTTCTTTAATATATAACTGATCATTCATTCAATCAACAGATTTTATAATATTTTTTCTTACTGATCACACCATCTATTTTGCTGATCATCTAAATCCATGTCTAATACTATTGACTTAAATACAAAAATTGAAGACTGAAATTTTCGAATAGAACTTAAGAAAAAGTTAATCAATTTTAAAAAATTTTCAATTCTCAAAAATATTATTTTACATGAGAAAACATTTTATAATAGTTCTCGAAATATATATTTTTTGTGGAATTCACATATATTTTCGAAGAAAATGGTGAGTGTAAGTTTAAAAGCGAGATTTTTGCGACTCCCCACCCACTCCCTATTACAGACATTAATGAGTTTAAAATTGTGCGAATTAGGAGCTTCACTAATTAGGTTGCTATTTGTTTCTTTTTAAATTGTAGACTACACGAAAAAGCAATATTTGCCCATTACAGACCATAGTAACTAGTATCTGCCATTGTGAAATATACGAACTAACACAATTAATACTCCATTACAGACATAAGCAAATCAGCAATAGACAAAAAATCGATCGGTGAGATAAATGGTCATTTCAAGCGGAAAAATGACGTTCAGGTCAAAAATGAATTCTTTTCCCCTCTCTGTCTATAACAGAAGACAAACTATGTAAGTATAAGTCAGCGTGTGTACACGAAATTTATATCGAGTACTTTTGTCGTCAATGTTCAGACAAGATATCCGTGCATATACAACATATTCCATGCTACGCAGAGCTTTACAAACACCAAATATGAGTAGTTTTCATTTTCATTTTTATTCTTCACATTCCTTCTTTCCCAATGATTCATTGAAACCAAATTTCTTATCAGCTCTTTGAAATTCGTCATGCATCACCACAAAAATATGAAAGCTTTCCCTCATATCGTAAATGATTTTCGGCGTCCCATCTTCATGCAAATTTACCCATCATTGTTTTAACCAAAGTCAACCAAAATCTAACCGACTGTAAACTTTCTCAACATCCTTAGTACCGTGCCAACTCCTTTTTCTCTTATCGCGAATACCTGTACGTTCATTTCGATTACATACGAACGCATTTTTTTCTATAGGAAAAATTATGTTTCATTTATGCAAACTATTTTTCCCATTGAGTTTTTCATTTTTCCGCTGTAAATTCATTTTTACAGTTATTTGACGTTATTGGGGGGACGGGATATTTTCGTTACTGTTTTTTTTTGTTTAGTGTGTGTATTGTAACTTTAGTTTTTAAGAATTTTTGACCTGAACGTCATTTTTCCGCTTGAAACGAGCATTTATGTCACCAATCAAATATTTGTCTAATCCTCAAGCAAATAGGCGATGAGCTAATTATAGGTTTTGGAAAGCAAGGTAGATTTTTCAGATGAACTATTCTGAATTACTTTAGTACGCCTAAGGGATATATGTGAGTTCCACATTTTAGCCTCAAAGGGGCTGTGCTAACAAGCTTTTTTGAAATATTAAAAAACAATAAATAGTCATTAGAAGCCAAAAGAATACTTCAGATACCTATTGAAATCTCAATTTAATATAGATTTATTTTCCTCAATAGAAAACTGAAATTGGTCACGAGAGAAAAAAATGAAAATCATTTGTTGATAGTGTGAAATAAAAATTGATTTTTTAATGAAGTTCATGCGTGAAAATAATATTAGGACAGAGAATTTTGCTCATAAATTATTCACTTCAAATAGTCATGGAGAGTTTTCAATATTACATTTGAAAAAATGTTCACAATTTGAATGTATCTTCTATGTATGGATCAAGTTTTCAAAGATCAATGTCATATATCCATGACAGAAAAAAATTCTTTGTCCGCTTTCAGTAATAATAATATATCCGATTAAAAAACCTTGGTATTCATCTTTTGAAAATTGATCTTCCGATGTTAATAAAAGAAATTTTAGTTCATTTTCTCAAATAAGTTTGATAAGAGAAGTAAATCAAATTTGTTGTTTTATTGGAAAATTTTCTAATTTTCAATTTTCACATCTAGTCAATTATTAGAACTAAAACAAATGTTTTTTTAATACTTTACTACTTTATTAAACATTTCTAATGAGAAATAATAAGAATAGACCAATTTTAATATTTGTAATAATCATCATAGAACATATAGATCTATTAGTTATTTTGAGATTTTCTGATAGCAATCGACGTAGAATAAGTTGAATCGATCTAATAAAAATCTATGTATTTTCAATTGACCTTGAAGTTTAATTTTGCCTGATTGAGAAGATTCTCTTATCGACAACTCGAATGAAATATTTTTATTGAAAAATTTCTAATTTTACACAAGAGAAACATTTTCTCATGACTAATTTTTCTATTCTCTCTGGGAAATATCTAAACATACGAAAAAAATTACAAGTAGATGTCACATTGAGAAAATAATAGATAAAATAAAATGTTCATCTATCTATGATAAATAATCTAAACACAACATTAATAAATCTTCTAGAATTGTTCTACCGTAGGTTTGTCACAGGTACCTATTTTTCTTTTTCTCTTCTAATAAACTTCAATTATTGAACGACTATGAGAGGTTTTCTCGGGAGACAGATGAATATCAATAAGAAGACAAAACCTCCAAAAGAAACAATCTTTTTATTACTTAATCAGATAAACAAATATTTCTGTAAAAACAAAATAAAGAACGTCTCCAACAATATATAAAAACTGTGATTATCTTCAATTAATCCAAAGAAAATATCAAAGAAAATCTTTATTCAATTATTATTTTTAATTTTATTACGCATATTTTTATTAGAAAAAATATAGAGTTTTTTTTAAATACTTGTGAAAGCATTTTTATAAATTGTTTCATTACAACTTTTCATTAAAACTATTTCAAGAAATAAGATTTCTGTTCACTTTGTTCAGATTGTTGGAAAATAAAAAAAATTGAGTAAAGTGCCGCTCGATTTTTGTTAATAACGAAGAAAATTATTTGTTTGTTTTGTTTTTCATTGATAGATCCGATGAGAATTATCATCCTGTACAAGTATTATATTAACATCTAGAAGATAATCGAATCTTCACTGATTTGTATAATAGAATTTTTTAAAATTTTTGATAATTTCAATAAAAAAAACAGAATATGTAAATAATAATTATTTATTTAATGAAAATCCTTCTGAAAATAATTAATCTATTAGTTTAATTTGAGTAGCTCTAAGCTTTCCATATTGAAAAATGAAAATAAAATCATTCAAATAGAACAATAAAGATCTATCTGCAAAAAAATGAATAATCATCTATTACGTTTTTCTGAATGAAAAGTCTTGCCTTTTCAATTTAATAAATAAAATGAATCACACGAATTTTTTTAAATATTTTGAAACAAAAATTAATTCTAAATAAATAATTATCTTAAAACGATGTATGTGAAAATTTCTATTAAAATTTAAAATATTATTTAATTATAATAAAATATAAGACTTTGAACGTGATCAAAAGAAAGGAGTAATCTTTATTTTTATTAAAATAGCTAAACGAGCAATTTATTGTTATTGATTGTGATTCGATTAAACAATTAAATTGCTGCATTCAAACTATTTTAGATTAGATCTAGGTTTTTAGTTGTCAAAATAGGAAATATTGATGTACTCCATATTTAGTATTTACTTAATTATTGTGTTCTTAAAAAAATAGAAAAAACTTGTTCATATAATATTATTAATGACAATAAGTTCAATTTCTGGAACATGTTTATTGTCACAAAAACAACTTTTCTTTTATGCTGTTGAAAGAAAATACAAATATATTTAAAATTAGTCGATCTTCTATCAAAAACGACTAAACTGAAAGAGAGAAAAAAACGAGGCATCGGGCTATTTTCTCATTTCGGTAATAGTTTTTGATTTGATCGATAATGAATATAATGATTGATTCGATGCGTGGCTTATAGCCTGAAGACAAAACGCATCAAAAGTTTTTTTCTGAAAGCCTCTCTGAAAAATAGGAATATACGAATATCTATATTTCTTCCTGTGTTTCCTTCTACTCTTTTTTTCTTCATCTTCGATAAAAAGCTACTGTTCTCTATACCGTTTAGGAATCATTTATTTTGAATCATTTTAACCTAATAAATGTTATTTATATGTTTCGATTATTTATAGAGACAGAAAGTTCTAATAGATGAAATAATAGACAAGTATTTTCGTGTCAAATAGATAAGAAGAAAAATAGAATTGTCAATGGAGAGCCTACTAATATAAAGAGAAAAAACTATCTCCGGTAAGAAGAAAATAATTTATACCTCAAGTTACGGATGAAAAATTATTTCTTATTTTGTTGAATAATAAAGATTTTTTCAATAAAATTAAAATAATATAATTTTGTATAATTATTCATTCTAGTGTACAATTTTCAATAAATTAGCGATGTTTTCAAATTCATCTCGAAGTCTTCTTGTTGAATTCAGTGAATATTATGCTCAAATACATGGAAGAATCGTATTTCCATTAACAATATTCGGCATATTAACAAGTATTGTAACAATAACAATATTGAACCGAAAAAATTTTCAAACTCCAACAAATTTAATTCTTCAACATGTTGCATTTTTCGATACAATTGTATTAATATCATTTAATATTTATTCATTTTATTTTTATATTCTTCATGATCCCAATCCATTTGTTGGTCAATCACAATTTTGGCCACGTTTTGCAATATTTCATTCCAATATTGGTTTAACAGCTCACTCAATTGCTTTATGGCTTACTTGTCTTCTTGCTATTGTAAGTTTTTTTTTTATGAAGTAGACAGAAAAATCTAAAATATTAAAAAAACTGATAAAAACAAAATTTCTTGTTAGATTCGCTATACAATCATATCAAGAACAAAACAAATAACAGTTAATGCTACACATGTAATGATATTTATCTGGTGTGCTGCACTTGTAATATGTTTATTAATGATACCAAATTATTTAGCATGGAGTGTTGTTTGTGTACCAGCTCATACGCTGTTACCAACCGTTTACACAATAAATTCAACAGAAACAGTTTATTGGGTTAGTTCAGCAACAGGCGGAAGTTTAGAAAAAATTTCGTTTGGAATTCTAGCTATATGTTTAAAAATTTCTCCAGTTATAATTCTTATAATATTTAGTATATTATTAATTTTAAATATTCGTCATGCACGTCAATTGCGTGAACGTCTTCGTCATAGTTCATCAATAAGTTCATCATCAAATTTAAAAGTTGAAATGAGAACAACAACAATGCTTGTTTTAATAACATTATGTACTGTTTTTGTTGAATTACCTCAAGGTCTTTTATTAATTGCAATCGGAATAGATAAACAATTTTTTATATTTTATTCACATTTGGGAGACTTTTGGGATCTAACATCAATTAGTTCATCATTCATTACATTTGTTATGTATTGTTCTATGTCGCAACAATTTCGTTCGGAAATGATTTCACTTATTTTACCATCAATTTGTATTAAGAATTCGAATTTGAAATCAAAACAAAATTCTGTAACAGAAAAAACAAATCTTAAACAAATAAACATTAGAGATTCTCAATTACTTATTAAAAAAACAACAGATATTACACAAGATCTTTAATCTTAATAGAACATTGCTTTTTTGTTTAATACCTGAATAATCGATGGACAGAGTAAATCTTCTTTTGTTTCGAATGTTTTTTTTACAATCAGATTATTCAAGAAAATATGTTTTGTTTGTCTTTGAAAATATTTCTATTGAAATTCTATCTTTTCTGTAAAATAAAAATGCGCTTTATTCGAAACAAAATTTGTCTTGTTCTTTTTTTATATTAGATTTAAATAATCATTTTTCGAATCATTAATCTGAGTATCAATAACCAATATGCAACGAAAAACCGCTCATATTGATGTCTGTTCTCTTTAATCATTTTTAGATCACACCTTCCCAGAGCGTTCATTCCTATAACTGGATCCAATCAGATCTGAAAACGGGTTACCTCGGATCTTCTATGAAAACCCACTAGAATCGACGGATTCCAGGTTTCAGACCGAGATTCAGATCCATAGGATCAGAATCCGATACATATCCGATTGTATCCTACTCTGGGATTCGATACGCTAAAAAGTCTCCTATAGTCAACCTCTAAAGAACCTTTTTGCACTAAATAAAATCTTGATAATTTTTCAAAATTCTCCCGTCGCCTCGGTCAATAATTCAGAAATCTAAAATCCAATTAAATTCCTCGGTTAGTAGGATGTTATAGGATCCGATAGAATTCGTTGTTGGATTAGTCGACCTGCAGGCATCGAAAAGTTCCTGGAATTACGAGATCTGCATTTAAAAAAGCGATGTTCCATCTATAGTTTCACGACATACATTCGAGATAGTTGCTGTAATATTTCATGGAAAATTTCATTGATTTCGTTCATACTATAGGCGCTCTTTCGAGTTGTAAAATAGGTATTGAATTAGACCTCCTTGGTTTTTATCATTGCTAAATTGTTTTAGTTGCTAATCATTTAGAATATCTTCGATGTATCTGATAGATAGCTAGACTAGGAGTCTACTCCAGCGTGGCTGTAGTTCGCAGGCTTCAAGTTCATTTCTCTCTTTTGTTCAGCAAACAAAGGTATTATTTGACATGTTGCTAAAAAGCACCATGTTGGAAACTGATCGGAACAGGCCAGAATGATACGTTTCAGTTTGATATCTTTTATATATCAGAATATACGAGTCGTTATAAAAATCACTAGATGCCAAATAATGATTCGAATGTCATTACCTAATTACAGAAGAGTCCAGTCGAACCCCTCCCCCTTCGTTGTTTTTGTTTTTATTACAATATTCCTTTTATTTACTGACCTACTCTATATATAGCGAGAAAGCCTGGAAAGAGCTACATCTTTTGGCATATTTAAATTAAACAATAAAATGAAGCGTCAAGCGTCAATAATGTTGTAGCATTTATTATTTCGCACACATGTCGGCTTGTATAAGAGATCGAATTTTGAAATTTTTCCAAAATATGTTTCTTGTGAAGCTTTTAAAAGCCTATATAAATTGAATTCCCCTTTATTTGCTCTTATAGTTTGTCTTATACTGAATATGATCAACGTACATGACGATGTTACATTCCATCAATATTGAAAATATTTAGATGATTCGCTATAATTTGCAAATAAAAAAGTCGTCGAACATTTCAATATTGATGGAATGTAACATCGTCATGTACGTTGATCATATTCAGTATAAGACAAACTATAAGAGCAAATAAAAAGGAATTCAATTTATATAGGCTTTTAAAAGCTTCCCAAGAAACATATTTTGGAAAAAATTCAAAAATTCAACATTTATGCAAGCCGACATGTATGCGAAATAATAAATGCTACAACATTATTGACGCTTGAAGCTACATTTGATTGTTTAATTTAAATATGCCAAAAGATGTAGCTCTTTCCAGGCTTTCTCGCTATATATATAGTAGGTCAGTAAATGAAAGGAATATTGTAATAAAAACAAAAACAACGAAGGGGAGGATTCGACTGGACCCTTTTGTAAATACAGGCGTATCACTTAGAACAGAGGTTTTATTTTTTAAATATATAGCTAACATTTTTTATGAACACAAGATAGCTAAAACAAAAATTGAAGTTCAGCATAGATGAAACTGTAAAATATAATAAGATGTTCATGTTATTGTTTCAGAATGCAACTCGCTATTCAGCTGCAATTAGTTCGACACCATATTAATATGCAACTCATTCGTTCAGTTCATTTCCGACTTTAAAATTGTTCATAAACATAAGCTAAACTTTAAATTTTATTGAAAGTTGTGCGAAGAAAAGGAAAATATTCATATTGAGTTTATTAATGTGCATAAATGTTTGTCGCCAGCAGTTCCTTCTCTTACTAGGACGTCCGTTATATAGGACTTCTTATCAATAATTGCAAATTTTGTGAAATACCTGTGTCATACCTTGATACTTCCCAATGATAGGACAAGTACTGCTCTTTTTCATAATCAAAACGATCATATACTTGAATTTTTTCATTCTGTGTTCATTGGTCTTCATATTATTAAATATTTCTTTAACTTGTTTTTGACATACATGAATTGTCGATTTGATAACACCATGAAAACTGCAAAGAAAATAGAGTCGCCTAAGATGATTCGAATCAAAACTTTTAAAATTGCTTTCTTTCATGTTCATCATCAATCATCTTATGTTGTTACAACAGTATTTTTGTATCATTGCTAGTTCAAAGTGTTATCTATCGACTCGTGAAAGAGTCATGAACAAATATTATACTGTTAAAAAATATCAGTCAGAATGGCGGAAGTGGTATGGAGCTAATCGGAGTCATTCCGTATGGGACAAATTAGATCACTCTGGCAAGCTAGGTGGAGTAATACGGACCCCACCGGCAAAAATTGCTGTACTCATTTCCCCCATCAGTCAACTCTTTTTTTTAATCAGTAATCGTTAAAAGAATGATATATCGTTCTATAGCCCAAAGTGTCCACGTTAGGGCCTGGAAATATCTCGACGAGCAAACAAACAGATGTAACATAATAATCACAAAATGTACAACTCTATCAGCGTCCTTTCATTCAATAAAAATCTATATGGAGTAATTCTTATCAGCTCCATACTGCCTCCACCATTTTGATCGATACTGTTAAAGATTATAATATTTTTTGATGACTCTTTCATCACTCGATAGAGAACACTGCGAGCTAACAATAATACAAAAAAACACTGTTGTAACAACATAAGACAACTGATAATGAACAAGAAAAAAATCCATTCTTAATGCTCAGACACTCTACATAGTGATTCAGAAGGAAAAACAAAGATCAATTTGACACACAATTACAATTGTGCCGTTATCATTAATTTCCGAGGTGGCATATTTTTCATGAATAAAATGTATTTTTGAATCAGTATTACTTGTATATGAAATCTTATTCATGTATAATCGATCAAAAACAAATATTAAATCGAATTAGGCATCTCGTGTGTAATGGTTCAGAAAGTATATGCCGAAATTTCTTTACGTTGAAGTCGAACGCAATGTACAAACAAGACCCAGTATAATCTGTGGTCATAGTAGTTTAGCGGATTTTAACGCCCTAAATTATAAAAAAAAGACTAAAAGAAACCTTAGTTCATTGTCTTATGATTACAATTTAATTCAAGTTTTATTAACGAAATATATCCAGTTTAATGTAAAATAAAACTCACAGCATGAAGCCAATAAATTTAAATTTAAAAGATTGCCTGCGAGCTCTTCTGGATCAATCACAATTAAATATCCTCTTGGGATTGATGACATTTTATCGTGTGTAAACATCATTCGAATCAAATCTTTGATTGATAGCCAATGATGAGGAAATCGTTTCTGATTTGTATCTAATATGAGAATGTGATTTGTTGTTTCATCGAATCCAGCAATTAAACTGAAATGTCCATCTTGATGAATATAATTTTTAATGGATATGACTCGAATGAAGGTTGCTATATCCAATTTCGGGGTGTCGAAAGAGAAATACTCTTTCTATAAAATGAATGGTATAAATGTTACAATGAAGAGACAAATTAGACTGATTTTCATTCACATATACATGTACATCCTTTGATAATTGACGTTTAAATCATTTTAACAGCTTATGTGAACTGTTAAGAGAAGAAAAATCTACTTTATTTATGCTGATCAACCAAAGTGAAGTTATTCAACTTCGGTTATTAGAAATTTGATAGTTGCTGTAAATACCTTTAAGTTCCTTGCTTGATGTGTACTAAAAATACAGTACTACCGTTGATTTCTAATTGCTTTAAGCAGATTATATTATGATGATTGGTCCTCGTAATTACATATGAATAGATATGTTTATGTATTTACTTATTAGTCAGATGGCTTGAAGACTTTTGTTCGTGATTTGTGAAAATGTCGATAAATCCTATAAATTTTCTTATCATATATATTATCATTTTGTTGTTGTATTGTGAGACGACATTTGATGGAAGAGAAATTGCTTTTCGATAGAGCACAAATAAATAAAGGTTGTACGGATGAAGTTTGCATATAGACATTTATGACCTACCAACAAGAAATGAGTAAGTGGAATATTGGACGAAATGTGTTTAAAGTTTTGAGCTCATATCACTTTGCTATCTTTTGATATATTTATCTATAGTTTTCTTCAGTATAAAAGATTATAATTAAATTAAAGCATTTAATCATTGTTTGACGATATTCACAATAATATAAACATCTTTCGATTAAACTAACTCTTGGTAACATTATTGAATCAAAATCCTGCGAGACATATATATATATATATATATATAGTTTATGCAAATATTGTTCTCATTCACTAGCTAATAAAGTCATTTTCTTCATTCATACGGCTCCAGTTTTTCGCTAGGACGTGATTATGAAGCAAAGATACTCCGATTTTATGTTAAATAGTAATTTTTCGTTGAAACTAATTCGTCAGCTAGTAGTTCTCCTTCTGGATACTATATTAGTTCAGCACTCTGACAAAGAGCACAAGCACTATTCATCGATTTTAGAAATGAGATAGGAATAAAGTTACTTACGTATATAATACACTATCAATCATACAGAGCGACCAAATAAATAAATAATCAAGGACTGCTGAGTAGATCGATAGATAGATAGATAGATGGATAGAAAACATAAAATTAGCTATTCACGATAAATAGTAATGTCGTACCTATGCATTAGTTGCGAAGCAGTATATCATGACAATATATGCAATGGAAAAATATATTTTAGGCACAAAACGGCCCTCATGTCGTTTGGATTGGGCGCAATCATCATGGACACGATGGATTTATGTAGCATTTTGGTGGTGGATTAAACCTATTCTAAATGTAGGCAATAAGCGAACACTCGTCGATGATGATCTTAGCGATTTATCTTTCGGTGACCAATGTTCAGGTTTATTAAATAAAGTTAATATTAGTGATAATAAATGGCCAGGTACATGGCGAATGATTATAAGCACGTTTGGAAAAGACTCTTTGTTGATCAGTTTGATTCTAGTTTTATACGCAGCAGCACGCATTGCTCAACCATTGCTGCTTCACGAAATCGTCCTCTATATTAGTAGCAAACCAGCCCTACCTGCATACGTCGGCTATTCGTTCGCTATCGGTCTTGGTGCTTGCTCGACTCTACAAGCAATTATTCATCAGCAAGTGTTTTTTAGAAATACGCGCATTGGTGTGCGCATACGTCATACTTTATCATCTCTCATTTATAAACGATTGCTTACAATTAATATGACGTCTCTTCAGAATACTACAGCTGCTCAGACAATCAATTTGGTAGCAAATGATGCAAGTAAATTTGAAGAACTGAGTATTTTTATACATTATCTTTGGGAAGCACCTCTCGAATCTCTCTTAATATTTGGTCTCATTTGGTGGAATATTGGTTTGCCAACATTATTTGGTTATACCGTATTATTCTTATTAGTACCTGTACAGCTAATATTCAGCCGCAAATTCGGTCAATATCGTAAAACAACGATGCCATGCACGGACAAACGAGTTCAGACTATTAACGAGTTAATCAATGGTTGTCAAATTATCAAAATGTACAATTGGGAAAAAGCAATAGAACATCGAGTGCATGAATCACGTCGTCTTGAATTTTCTAGTATTTTGAACTCTAGCCGTTTGCGAGCTCTCAATATGGGTATCTCATTCGCATTGCTTCCTTTAATTTCTCTAGCCACATTTGGTGGCAGTTGGTTGATGAATCGACATTTATCTGCAGCAGAAGTTTTTACTACGTTAGCATTTTTTGCTTTGCTTCGAGCACCAGTAACTATCTTTCTACCGACAGCCATCGAGAAACTCAGCGAAGCTCGCATTGCTGCAAAGCGAATCGATGCATTTATGCAACTCAATATATTATCAGTGACAAGAGAAAAAACAAACGAAAATGACAAAAAAGACTATGCAATAGTTATGGAAGATGCATCTTTCTCTTGGGTAAATTCGCCTAGCCTGTTCAATCTCAATTTTCAGGTCGCTCGTGGCATGTTAGTTGGAGTGAAAGGGGCGGTCGGTGCCGGCAAATCATCGTTACTTGCAGCCATTCTCGGCGAGATTAATCTTATCAGTGGAAAACTTCGATTAAGTTTCGATTCTATCGCGTACGCTCCACAGTCACCATGGATTTTTGCCGACACAATTCGTGCTAACATTCTTCTTGGCAAAAAACTGGATGAGGAACGGTACAAAAATGTTATACAATCATGTTGTCTTGATACAGACCTATGTATATTTGGTGAAGCCGGTGATTTAATGATGGTTGGTGACAAAGGAGTTAACTTGAGTGGAGGACAAAAAGCGCGGGTATCGCTGGCTCGCGCTCTATATGCTGACGTCGATTTATATTTACTTGATGATCCTCTATCTGCCGTCGATCCAAAAGTAGCAAAGAAAATATTTGATCAGTGTTTTGGTCCTCGTAGTCTTCTAAAAAGTAAAACTCGAATATTGATCACACATCAGACACATTTTTTGGCTGAAGCAGATCACACAATAGTTTTGAAGAATGGCTATATTGATGAATCACAGACTACAAAATTGGAAGTAAATGAAGCATACAAGGTTACAGAAAAAATCGATTCATTCCAGTCTACTGAAGTCAGTGGGATATGTCAAACTGAAGTGATCGACCTGCATTCAATAGTGAAAAATGAAGCATCGCTGAATGGCGCTGTCAACTGGAATGTTTGGATTCGACTATTCACTTCACCACCATTGAGATGGTTCGGCTTTTTACTTCTGATCATTCTTATGCTTGTAGGTGAAGCTCTTTATAACGCGACAAATCGTTGGCTAAGTATTTGGTCAGCCAAAGTGCCCAGCATAGAACGCTCTTCATTGGACGCTTACATCTATCTTGGATTGACACTTGGAACATTAGTCATTTCTTTAGTACGAGCTGTCTACTTCTATTATATTATTTTGCGTGGGTCAAATTATTTTCACAATAGTATGCTCACTGGCATCCTATATACTTCATTGAATTTTTTTGCAAGTAATCCAAGTGGGCGAATTCTCAATCGAGCAAGTAAAGATCAACAAGTTCTCGACGAACTATTACCGTTCGCTTTGCTGGATGGCACGCAAGCTCTACTTGCAACGCTTGGGGCACTTGTGATTATTGGCATTATCAATCCGTGGGTCCTTCTAATACTCATTTTACTCGTACCTTCCTTTTGGTGGCTTCGCCAGTTCTACTTACGTACTAGTCGTCAACTTAAAAGACTTGAAAGTGCAACAAGAAGTCCGATATTTGCACTTTTTTCCTCTTCATTGGATGGACTTATGACTATTCGTGCGTTTGATGTTAAAGAAAAATTTCTACATTCGTTTTTGGAAAGAATCGATGCCAATCATCGAGCCTATTTTACTCTAATTGCTGCTACTCGCTGGTTTGGTTTAAATCTTGATCTCATGACATCTGCTCTTACTTTGACTACAGCTATTCTATCGGTTGCATTACGTCATCAAATGAATCCAGCGGAAGCAGCACTTAGCTTAGCGTACTGCATCAATTTGGCAGCTTTCTTTCAATGGGGTGTCCGACAATCTGCGGAAGCAGAAAATTTTATGACTAGCGCTGAAAGAATTTATGAATATGGTAAACTTGTATCAGAAAACGATAGAGATAACAATACCAACAAAGTTCTGATTCAACCATCAGATGAATGGCCTGTTCGTGGTACTATTGAATTCAAAGATTATACTTTTCGCTACCGACCGGAGCTTGAGCCTGTTTTGAAGAATATTAATCTGCGAATTGAATCCCAAGAAAAAATTGGAGTTATTGGTCGAACAGGTATTTTTATTTGTCTCATGTTCTATAGACAAGTACACCAGTTCTATATCAATCTTTAGTTCAGTCAATAAAGAGACGTATTATATCCATACACAAAACTGTATACCGCTACCATTGTTTTAGAAATATTGAGCAAATAAGAAAACATGTACTTTGGGAATGCTAGATCTATTGTTCGTGTTCGTATATATATTCCATCTTAGAGACACTGGCGGATCTAACAGTTCGACTACCAGGCGCTCGCCACCACCTTGACAATGGACAGGACAACGAAATATTTTTAAAGGCTTAAATGATATTAGAAGGCCGAAAATAAAATGAATAACCGAAGGGAATCGGAAAACTATAATTGATTGTCATCATCTTGAATATTACGTAAGTAGTAGATCAAAAAATATAAATAGCATTTGCTCGTTTTCCGCTTCATTTCTGTCTTTTTTTTAAATGCTACCCGAAATATTTCTGCGATTCTTATATTCACCAAATCATATCTTTCAATAAGAAAATAAATCTCAAGATGTTGATGTCAAACATTCGAAAACTGTTTTAGTTTAATAATAAGAGTTCTCCAAAAATCATGAAAATAAGTAATTAGAAAAATCTGGTTAATTATAATTAATTTACATAGATGAATTCGCTAAGTTCAGTCGTCGATTAGCTTTTAGATTTTATTGCGCAACTTTATTTCTAAAAAAGTTGTTTTTTCCATGAAATTATAGATATATTGCGCAAAAATTAAATAAACAATGGAAAGAAAACTGTAGTACTCCAATTTATCTATGGTTACAAGTAGTATTTTGTTTTTAAGAGCATTCTTATGCTAACAATAGAAGCATTTTAAAATAAATATTATGGTTTTTCTCTTAAAATAACGTTAGAGGGTGTGGGTGTGCGCGTCGGCGTGGGTACCTTTCCAGCTATTTTGGTAATCTTAACACCCGCATCTACACACCCACACCTCACACCCTAATGTACATCAAACTGGACAAAATGTCGATGAAATCAATTTTAAATCAACACTTGTTGAACAATATATCTGTTTTGTTTTTAGGAGCTGGCAAATCGTCCCTTTTACAGGCACTTTTTCGATTTGTCGATCAATCGGCAATCACTGGTAATATTTACATCGACGGTATTGATATTGATCATGTGTCGCTCAATCATCTTCGGTCTCGTTTAAGTGTGATTCCACAAGTACCGATCTTGTTTTGTGCTACCCTAAGATACAATCTTGACCCGTTCGAAAAATTCTCGAACGAAGAATGTCTTGTAGCTCTTGAGGCTGTTCAACTAAAACATTTGATAAGAAATCACCCAGATGGACTCAATATGCTATTGGCTGAATCAGGCAGTAATTTGAGTGCTGGAGAATGTCAATTGATATGTGTCGCACGAGCCATTCTCAAGAAAAGCAAAATTTTACTTATTGATGAAGCAACCGCAAATGTCGATCATGCAACCGATAAGATGATTCAAGATGTGATCGCAGATAAATTTCGCGATCGTACCGTATTCACTATTGCACATCGGTTCAATACAATAGCTAACAGTGACCGCATTCTTATGTTACAACAAGGCAAAGTAGCCTATTTCGATATACCAGATACCATCGATCTTTCTCAATACGACAAACCAATGATAACGTGGCTCTGATGTTTATTATCGATGAAAAATATTTATTAAATCCTGGTAGATAGGATTCAATAATTTCTCCTATCTAAAAAAAAAGCTAATCACTTCTTAACCGATTTCCAATTATAAACTGTAGTTTTAGTTGAAAATTTGATGATCTCAATTGATACTTTTACATTTTCGTTTGAACTAAAGGCACGTTGAATTCATTGTTTTTATCTGTGTCATCGAAAACTAATGGAAGAATTTTACTAGAATTTTTCCAATGCTGCAATGACTTTGTTATATGTGAAGAACATCGAATATACGTATAATAAATAAAATCTAAGCATTGAAACAGCATGTTAAGTAGAACTCCAAGGAATCGGCTACCTAATGACGAGTAAATATCTCTAGTAAAATAGTGTTCACAGAAAATGTGACCTAAGTCGATGTCAGGCAGACGTATCCTGTTTTAATCACCATTGGTATAATCTAAATTATAGTTTCTGATATAAAATACTCATTATATCATAATGAAATGTTGATTTATTTTATGTTGAAACGATCTAATTTTCACTGACTAATATTCAATGTATAATTAGGCATCCAGCTAGTACTTTTGCTATACAAGAATCCTGGAGTATGTTATTAGTAAGGAATAATACTTTCACGATCAACTAGAATGTTTGTTATTTTCACCGTTCATCTAGTTTTACTACACTACACTGAAGAGATCAAAATAATTACTTCGGATCTGCTGAGAGAATCTCAACTGTGATTCAATGAAACCTGAAAGTAACGTCGAAGAAAATACAAGCATATATGACGAATGTTTGTATGTTTACATAGCGCTATGACTGGGCAAGTTTTTTAAGTATATATCCAATACTTTGTTTTTAGAGAAAGTTTTGTCAATTAAAAATGAAATTCAATAATGGAATCGATTTCATGTAATATAACAAAATAAATACAAAAGGCTAATAAGCATATACGAATACGATATGCACGAAACAAAGTTCAAGTCAATTGGAACACGAAGGATTAGACATCATACCAAAATTTTTCTTAGCACTCCTGTTTGATTAATTCAAAAAAAACGAAGAGAAATCTCTATAGACTGCTATATTTGAGGTGCAGCATTTCAGATATGCAAACAAGTGCAGGAGAATAAAAAAAGCGTCTGACACTATCCAAAAGATAAGTGATTCTTAAACAGATTCTATTAGTTTGTCATTTTATTAGTATGTTAGAAGAAGATTTTATTTTAAAGCAAAAAGTTTAGTTACATTCATTAGTACCTTAGACAATTTACCTAGAGATCCTTCTCATGTTGATAGACACAACAGCTGGTCTATTTCTACTTTTCTTAAATACCTCTGAAGTATGTCTGTTGTGCAAGTAACAAGTGTTTGTCAAGATCGTAAGCTATGTCGACAGACGAAAATCCTTAACAGTAGCATTCGCACAGCTACATGTAGCGGTAAATAATAGTATAGTCTACAAAATAAAAGAATTGAGGATGTCAGATGCTGCCATGAAGACGTAGAGCAAAAAGAAGAACTGCATCATATGATCAATATGTCTGATTGGATTGTTTTTATCATCTATTCTTTGCTAAATCCTATCGATTAAGATAAAGTAATAACTAAAAGAAAAAAGAACAAGAACGAGAAAAGGAATTCTTGCTGCATTAACGATGAGAGCCAGAGGTGTTCACAGAGCAGGGCTATACCTTAATGCCCTGAAAGTTTTGCATATACTTAGTTCGAAAAAAACAACAATTTTATTTTTCTCGGAGACGTGAAAGAGCCTAAAAAATCAGATCGAGTTATTAAATAGTAAATATATTGCTATATTTGTGTTTTTATGATGCCCGTGAGGTTCAATCAAAGTGGTAAAAAATAAGAAAATAATAAAGGAATCATAATAGTACTGGACATACATTAATAATTGTAATAATTGCTCATCTTCATATTATTTCAATTAAACTATGCATTGTTATCACCGTCGATAGATTCACGTGCTGATAGTTCATTTTTCTCATGGTGATGAAAATGAAGTTTCTATTCTTTCTTCGTTAAATATATCTGTTGGTTGACCACCAGTGGTGATGCACAATCATCATATACACCTCTTCAATCAGGACTCATTTATTATTTGTTAATCATTTATCTATTTGTTGAATTATTTTTCAAATAAAAATTACTTAAACTTGAATTTAAACATGAAAAAGATCCTTTTTAATTTGCAGGGTAGCGCAATAAAATTGGCCCTGTGAACACCTCTGATGAAAGCATGTGCTCATTGTCGAATCTATATTGTTAATTCAAGCGAGACGTATACAGTCGACAATGTAAACACAGTTATTTTTTTCATAATCAATTTTTGTTCATCAGATCTGCTTCTTTCCTAATTATTGCTACGACAAATAAGATGGGTAAGTTTTTTTATGTTGCATGATAACATCTAAGTAGCAGTATTGCTATCAAAAATTGATAAACGTAGCAATGCTATGTCATACGAGGACTCGAATGGTCTTGCAATCAAAGATAGTCGTATTAAAACATTTATTGAGTAGAGATGCAATTAATTTGTTGTTGAAGTATTTTAAACGGAGAATATCTGGAAGTGGTCTGATAGTTTACTGGTTATATGCAATGCAGGTTCTTAGTGTCTCTTCTACATAGATTTCGTTACCAAACAAATTGAAAAGAAACGGGACATGGATTTACATGGAGATGGTGTAATAGGTTCGAATGAAAAATAGCATCATCGTATATGTATTGATTTGAAATCTTCGTTTCATTTTAAACGATTGTGGACATGCTGGCGGCTACCAATAGCATGGATCAAGAGGTGGAGACTTGATTAATTAACTGGAAAAAATCACACGCATGGATCTAAACGGCGGTGGACCATCTAATCCTTCAGATTTTAATTCCTATGGCTATGAACATTGACCTAGTAAGATCCAAAATAAGGCTCAACCATTTTTTTTCCATGTTTGATTCAATGCTTTCATTACCATTGATTTTCTTTTTTTTGTTCGTACATATAGTATGTTGCAACAGTCATTTATGTAAAATAATGCAGAGATCTGCGAGCTAGACTCGCGTTGCCTCGCACCATAGCGTACGATTATGCGCATAAGAAGTCTCCTTCGAATTTAGCGCTGTGAACGAATTTGACTGTGACTGATTTGTATAGTGAGTGTTCCCCCAGAACGTGCTAAACTATGACATGATATATTACGCACTCTGCATAAGCGTGTGCTGTAGCGCGACGCTGACCCGCGGATCTTTGCTTCAAGTAGTTACTCGTGAAGAAAAATATTGTTTTCTTGAGGATGTGGACGTGTAACTAATTGCCGATGAAAGTTATTTCTCTGTTTCATATAGATCATAAATAATATTCTTAGTTTCTGTAACATTACTAAATTTGTAACAGATTATGTAGAAGATATTATTTATGGTGAGTCATTCTGTAGTCTCTATTATAGCTAATAATAGAATAATTAGACATAGAATAACTATAATAATTACAATAGTAATAACAATCTTCATTCTTGTTTTATTTTTTGATCGAACATTGAGAAATGTTACATAAAACAAGTTCTATGATAGTCATAGAAAACATTACAATATGAGAAACAAACATTTAGTTTATTCGTTATCGAAATATTAGAAATTCGAATTTCTTTCTTTCTCTTTGATACTCTATTTATTACAAGAACAGCGAGTAAAAAGAACGAGCTATTTTCTCTTTCTCTTCTCCTTCAGCGGCCGCGCATAGAATAGTTGTCGGTCGTGAGCAATATATGCATACACAAAATATATCATCAAGGCATCTATTAACGACCATTTTTTTTTCTACTAAATCCATTTTGATTGAAATTGTCAAGGAGAAAAAGAAAAAATGAGTTGTATTGGTAGTCGTGGCTGTTCAAAACTAAACTATCTTATTTGTGGCACAAAAGACTTTCCATCGATAAATAAAAAGAAAAAATCCACGTTAAGGGTAAGTTTCAGGAATTATTTTATCAAAAGAAATTTCGATTATGGTAAAAAATAACTTCATAAATTGAGTCTAGTTAATATCAAATACTCTTATATAACAGAGAGCTATTTGATAACAAATGTAAATCAATAACTTTGCGATTTTGTTTTACTAATTAAAGACAAATAAAAAATTAATATTGTTAAACGAGCACCTTTTTAAAACCACTTTTATCGATTAAATTATTGTAATGAATGAATTCGAAGAGAATTGATGATTGATGGGAAAAGAACAAACATCAGTTCAATGAGTTCATTTAAACACGTATACTTATATATAACTTCCGACATTATGCAATGACGTAAAAAATGATATATATATATATATATGTTTATAACAAAATGACTTTGTCAAAGAGAGAAAATATAACTCTATTATATTCTGAGATAATTATGGTAAAGCTCCTTATTCAACATATTGATTCTCTACTAGACTTCCAGAGTCTTTTGTCTATTTTCTATTCTATAAAATAGATATTATCCGACTCATCATAAAGGGGTCTATTTCTAAAAAAAGTAACATTTTCATATATTATATAGTGATAAGAATATTCTTAGTTTGCTCGTTTCGATTATCAACTGATCAATCATGTTACTAATGTTACTATGTAGTGATTTTTCTTTTTCTTCTTCTTCTTCTTCTTCTTTGATATTGTTTAGCAAGCAACAATCATCACTGATGTTAATTCAAATAAGAAAATCATTAATCAACATGAATCTTCTTCTATGAATTTCAATGAACAAAATAATATCAATATCAGATCATCATATGATACACTGCGACAAGACAACAGGCAAGTTTACACATGTATTTAACTAAAAATAAAAGCAGATAAGAGAACCCTCAACGCATCTATTTGATTAATCAATTAACCTTCATAAGAAAAATTAATGAAATGAAACGACATTTTTTTACTATCGAAATTACTTTTCTCTTTGCTTTTTTGAAATATCAACATGAATCTATGAAACCTTGTATTTTTATGATTTCTACCAGTTATTGAACAATTAAGAGTACGATTTATGAATATATTATCAATTTTTCTTTTACTAATGTTTATTCTTTACGATTCATATTGAAATCAATGACTATTTTCTTTATTTACGAGTTTAACAAAAACAAGAAGGCATTTTATCGTTCAGCTCATGATACCTATTTTTAAAATGATCATCAATGTGAATATGCCCTGTAACCTAGTACTCTCTTTCTCTCTATCTATCTACTTGATTCAAAGGATTTGAAAATTTTTCTATTGAACTCATAGAAACAACGAAAAGCTAAATTTTTATGAGCGAAAGATTCATCTAATAATTGCCTTTCATTGATCTGTCAGATAAAATCGTATTGACATGACATATATTCAATATTGAGTTTTGTTAAGAAAAGAATTTATCCAGAAAATCAGTGTATCACGATATCGATTCAAATGATTATCGATAGACCATTCAAATAAATAGATAGATGACTTTTTTTATACAAATAATATTGATCTAATTGATTAACAATACGAATAATTACTTATTTATTGTTATGTTGATCAATGAAAATAAAATCTTTCAATATCATAGAAATCCTTGATAAAAAGATATCTCACTTTTGATAAATATTTTTCGTACAAATCACAAAAAAAACAAGAAATATTTTATCAAGAATAAATAAAATTATGATATCAGACAAAGAAAAAAACCTTTTTTCATACGTATAATTAAATTGTATAGGTTTTATTATAAATAGATGAGATGATTTTAGTAAGTTTCGATTTTCATTTATAATTAAATATTTCATCTCTAACCTGAAAAATAATTGATTAGCAATGAATAGTGATCTATAGAATTTCATGATTGAAAACATTAGTATAGATTTACTTTTCTAAAGTTAATATTTCTGCTTTATAGTCAACAAGCAACATTCAAATGTAATAAAAATAATCAAAAGATGAGAAATTATTCAATGGATGATCGATTATTTCATCGAACGTGTTCAACATTAAATAATGAAATAATTATAAAAGTAAGCATAATTTTACATATGCTTACTTTTGTTTTATTGAATTGAGTGTATTAATAAATATAATTTAATTAAAAAACAAAATTATTCTATTTAAAGGATGTTATTCTTCATCGTAATAATCCAAATGAACGATTCGGTTTAACTTTATGTTATGGTATAACATCAACATCAATAATAAATATTTGCATCGAACAAGTAAAATTTTATTTCTAATAATCTAATCAATATAATTAATATTCAATAGGTCGAGAAAAAAAGTATTGCTGATTACCAAGGAAAACTTCAATGTGGCGATCAAATTATTAAAATAAATAATTATCCAGTTACAAATAGAGATCAAGCCATTAATCTTGTCAATGGAGCGTCAACGATTATTTTACAAATTATTAGATGTCAAGTAAGTAGGTTTTCTTTCTTTCTTTCTTTTTTATTAAAGAAAAACTGTTTTTTAAATAGTCTATCCGAACAAATCATCGATCGATACACAAAGTTAAAACTTTTAATTTTCGATTTTATTTATAATGGAAATAATATTTTTCTTTCTAGAAATGTTTTAATCAATTCAATGGTCTTAAAAAAAAATCTGTTAGTTTATCTTGTTTAATATTTGAGCAATGCGCTGGTTATCGTCAGAGTCATTTATATTCGGAACAAATTCAATATCGTCGTTGCTTGTCTTTAGATGATTTCGAAAATTGTTCAATTATTGAAGAAAAATTCGATAACAAAAAACCTATTATAAAAGATTTTCTTCATTCAGAAATAGAATTCGACAGAAAACATAGTAATGAAAAATCAATAATAAAACCGCTTTCATTTAATAATCATAATGAAAAAATGATCGAAAGATATTTTACATATTTAAAAGAAAATTTCAACCATATTGATACTGGTAAATATGGGTCCAACAAAAATAAACAGCGCAATAGTAATCGGCTCCGTTATCCTAAAAATCAAGATATAAAGGAAAAAACTCGATTATTCATAAGAAAAGATGATCGATCAATTAGTCTATTAAAGCAAAGTCGATATTCTATTAAAGCACAACGAAGAAGAAAACAACATCAACGATCAAATATTTATGAAAAACAAACAAATTTTTCTCAAGAAAATTTGATTGAATCAATAACAGAAGATTATAATTTATTAAATCGAATATTTTTACATGAAAATCAACAAGAATTAAAAGAAAAGCCATATTTAGCAATAAAATATCAACAAGAATCAATTAGTGAAAAAGAAAAATTAAAAACAATTCTTCAGCAACATCGAATTGATCATCATTTAACATTTCCATCAACTCAAGAATATCTATCAACAATAATTGTTTAAATTTATTCTTAGAAACAACTATTCAGGTTTTATTTATCAATAAAATTTGTTTTCAAATTTAACAAACACAGAATACGTATATATTTCAATTTTGTCTTTCTTTTAACAATTTTCACAGAAATATTCTTTTTTAATAAATAGAAATTGTCCATTGATCATTATTAAATTATAATCGGCAATTTTCAATAAGGAATTTTTTATTTAAAAATTGTTTCGAAAAAGGAAACTTTTCTCTGGCCTATTTCAGACACTGATGTTATTTCTCTCGTATAATTATATAATTGATAACCAAAACAAATATTTATCATCACAACATTATTTCTCTGCTCATTTCTATATACATTAATCATATAATGAATCAACTAAAGAGATATTTAAAATTATGTACCTGATTAGCAATGATGTACAAGACATCGATACTATCAGAAATTTCATGATATTATTTTAAAACCTATAGGTGCTTTGAACAATATGGTTAACAAATCCAAATCTATAGCGACTTTTTTTGATTGTCTTGAGTTTTAAAATTCTTATTGCAAATACACAGATCGCAAAATAATATTTTATAATCAATTTTCACAAATATTCTTGTACAACAGATGAGAATCAATCAACCAATAATAGTAAGATGATTTGTTGAAAAATAAAATTCTCTTATGGTTTCTATTGATCTCCAATCTTGAATTAACAAATTGGATCGACTGATGCGATATTTCTTTTAATATTTGGGTGCTTCTTCAGATTCGGATCAACGACACCCACACTAGTGGTGGAAACAGAAAATGATGGGTGGTTGGGCATCGTTCTAGCAATTTTTATAGGGTTATTTACAAGAATCCTTCCTCTTCTCCGAGCCTAAATGCTCATTATTTTAGTTTTGACTTTTTGCGCTCTATATATGCTTTTAAGTGTTCTTTATCCATTATAAACGTTTTGAGAATTCAAATTTAGCTCTGAAGTTTAAAAAAGTCGAACAGATAGAACGTTTTCTATGTGAAAACGGTTAAATCATTTTTCGTTCTGCCGAGCTTTCACGGAGCCTAGTTTTTAGGCAAAAGTCTGTAGAATTGTTCTCGTTCCTCAGACATAATACATATAACCAAGCTGAAACGTTTTTGACAGATACTAGAAATACTTTCGAGAGACTACTTTTTTATTTTAAAAGATATTGTATCGTCGATTTTTGGCAATCTTACAAAATAAAATCTATTTAAAAAAATGCACTTTTGGTTTACTCTTTGTATTTTGACTTTTTCGTTCGAATACAAGGCGATTGAGAGAAACCAAACTAAATAGGCATTCCTTCTTCCATTCTTATTGACTAAAATAGATCAACGAATAGATTTTTTTCCTTTTTTGTTATAATACACGACCAATTGTGTAGAGTATCGTTGAACTGAAGAAGCACCGTCAATCGTTACTCAGAAATTTTCGTATTGAGATCATCGTCTATGTTTTAGTCGCTCTCTCACTCGGGTTAATATTTTCCTTATTGAGGTAATATCATATATTCTTCAGTCTTCATATCAATGAATACATACGATAGTGGCCATGCACATGCACAAAATGGATTGAAAGTTAAAACAACATTAGATGGCGATGATTCAATTGGACGATGCCATAGATTATTCGGTTTTTTCAACAACTTAAACATATATATATATATATATATATATGTATACACCTTTATTTTCGAGCAGTTGTCGTAATCAGAATAAAATATGAGTCGATCGAATGTTAATCTATTGGATCTACCTGATGAGATATTAATTATTATTTTGAAAAAACTGAGTAGTATCGATGTTCTTTATTCATTTTTGGACGTTAATAGTGAACATTTGAACAGTCTAGCACAAGAAAAAATCTTCAGAAATACTCAATTTTATATACGCCGATAATGTACCTTCAATTGATCAACACAAACTTCATCGATTTTGCAAGAAAATATTGCCAGAAGCTCATCAAAATGTGAATTGTTTCATTCTTGAGCCGCTCTAGCTGTTGATTATCCAAATCTAACCGAGCTTAACCTTTTAAACTTCAAACATGAAGTGGGTTTAAATTATTTTACAAGAAAAATAACAGAGAATGATGTTAAATAGAACAGACTAGAATAGTTTATTAATTATTTAGATGAATCATCTCTTCGATATATCGTTTAACAAAAAATTACCAACCTTATTCTCGTCAATAATGACGAATGGCGTGGGTTAGAAGCATTGAAAAACTATAATAGAATTGTTTTTAAACATATCTTCAAGTTCTTTAAAAATTTAAAACATTTGAGTATTATTAAAACATTCAATCCATCATATCCACCTTTATTACTCTGTGGTTTATCATCGATTAGTTTTTTCTCTTCAACTGTTACTCATTTATATATGGATGCTCGCACAGATGATTGTCTTTATTTACTTGATCATCGACTCAAACAATTAACTACACTTATTATTCGATTACGTGACACAAGCAAATCTTCATTAATCATTTTCCAATATGGCACATTTTAACAAAGAATGTCAACCATGAAATAAAGTTGGCTACCAATTCTATACGCTTTTATATTTATGAATATTCTTTTTTTTTATCGTATAGGATGATTTGCCTAATTTGAAATGTTTCTCATTGAAATGTTATCGTCTAATTGGTGAATACGATGAGAAAAATTGACCACTTCTTCGTCGTATGATATGCTTGGAAAAATTAACTCTTTATCTTCGTATAAAAAAATCGAGGTACATTTATCGATAGCTCTGATCTTCAAAATGAAATCCGTCTTTATATGCCACGCTTTCATTCATTTACTTTTTATATTAGTACTTCTGATGATACTGCTGATTTATTTCGTTATGTGCCTAGCTAAGATATTCAATGAGTTGCTGCAAATATTGGACACCAACAACGTATGGTTAATATCATAAACTATATCAGTCGTTGTGAAGCTGTATGTTCTATCTTCTCACTTCCGTTTGAATTCGATCAGCTTCAAGATATTGGCAATATATTTTCAGATATTATATTCAGATATGTTACGCATTCGGTGGTACAAGATGTAGTCCTATTCAATCATGAATACTTTCTTCGAATTTCCTGATCTTTTCCTTTACTGAATAAACTTAATGTTATAAATCTACGCATTCCTACAGGTAAACGATTTTTGTCATTGCTTTCCTTCGTTACAAAATGAAATCTTGTTTTTATATGTTAAATAAATTGAAAAATTTAATAAATGTTGTATTTCGATGAACAATATAATTAAGATATAAAGAAATATCGAATATTAATGATGTTGTACTAACAGTTAATCTTAAGATGATGTTATTTAGAAAGATGATTAGAGAAGACATCATGTAAACAGCTCTATAAATCAAAGCATTATGTTTCGTTCGTATCTTTGCACATCTTAAAATAAAACTTTCGGTACACTAGGAGAGCTCCACCCCTTTTGACAAAAGATACTTGAGAAGCCCTCTAAAAATTGACTTTTTTAAATGACCTTCTTAGCTCATGTTTATGGTAGAGTCGAATTTGATTTTGAAAGGTGTAACAGTTTAGAACAATGGCCATTTATTAATGATCTCGCAGAAAACGGTGCACCATTTGAAGTTCATTATGAAATGCTTCAAGCAGACAGTGATATTATTTTTGTGCGTAAAATATTGATTGGTTTCTTGTAAATGTTTTTTTTTCATCTTTGATATTGATATGTAATCATTTCTTATTTTTATGCTCTAAATTATGTTTGTTGTAAATCAACTAATTGTACTTCATTATTTTCTTCAATAAAAGTTGGATACAGTTATGTTTCAATTAGAAACTATAGATTATTATGATAAAAATGAAGCAATGAATCAAACGTCGTATGTAAGAGAAACTGAGATACAAGGAAATGTCTACAAAATTATTTTTTTATTTTCTATTTCTTCTATAAATTCAAAACAAAACCTTTTGTTTCGATGGTTCAATAAAACAGTATCTGAAGAATATTATTTCAATGATTGTAATTTATTATTGATAGATATTCAAAAATTATAATTATATAGTTTTTAAATGGTGATCTTCATCAAGATACATTACGCATATATTTAGCAATTGAATAGCACAATGGGTATTCTTTGCCATTTATCTATTACTCTATTTAATGCTTCAGTTGAACCATCAATTTGCTATTATTCATATAATAGAAAATCCTTCGCTTTAATTGATTATGAACAATATGCATTAAATTTAATAAAAACCGAACAAACACAAATTGACCGATGGTCATTATCATATCAGTTTTTTATCATGGCGTCATCAACCAAAAGTATTGACATTAAAAAGTCTTTTAAAATTTTGCTATCGAATAGAAAATTCGTTTTATGTTAAACGTATTCTTCTACCTCAATATTACAGAAGAAAAATTATTTGAACAAATCATAACATTATTCAAACATTATGTGAAATAACATTATATAATTTTGATGAATTTATTTTATGTAAAAAATTATTAGAAAAAAATTAAATTAACTATAAAAATATAAACATGAATTAGAAATAAATATTTTTTCTAATGAAAAATTAAATCAAAAAAAGATTATCTATTATGATATAATTATAATCTTTTTCATTACTTTATGGAACACTAAAACTTTTCAAATACTCTGTATATTTATTTATATCGTTGTTTTTGGTTGTTGTTGTTGTTGTTATTTTATGATTCTAAATCTAATAAAAGTATGTGGGAAAGCACAACTTTCTCAATCGAATTATACCGATTATAGTAAATAACTCTACTATTTGACCTTTTCTAATAGAGCTAGATGAATGTCATTCTCGGTGAAATATTTGAATAAAGAGTATGGCTTTTTTTTCTTAATTCAATTTTGATATATTGAGTACAAGGAAAAAAATCGTGTGTGTATACGGATTATTCCCAATTCAATACAAACGTGCACAACTTTTTTTTTTGATTATATGAGAACTGGAAACGGTAACCCAAAACGAATACAATAGAGTAACAACGATGGCAACATCGCTTCTACATCTCAGGTAAATAATTTATTCTAAGAGATAGATCGGAAATTCTCAAAAGAAAAACAAAGCAAATAGTCTCTAGATTGATAATTAATCAAATTTAGACGAATCAATCAAACAATTTTTGGAATAAAAAAATGGAACATCAATTTTATCTTCATAGTATTTAATATAAATAATTTCATGGTTTTTCATCTTTTTCATTTTTATTGAGATGTCGATCATAATGGTTCAATAGCTCCACTTGATTTTGAAATGCTTGCTAATAAACTTTCAACATTTATTGGACAAGGAGATCACAAACAATGTGAAGATTATGCAAATGCACATAAAACTCTTTGTTTAGAAATAATGAGAGCTGATCCTAATCAAGATGGAAAAGTAATATTAGGTAAACATAAAATTGCTTTTATTTCTTTTTCTTAAATTTCTTTTATCAGATAATACACTTCAAGAATATCTATCAACAATATTCATTTAAATTTAATTTATAACAGCAATTATTCAGCTTTTATTGATCAATAAAATTTGTTTTCAGATTTAACAAACAAATAAAATATATTTCAGCAAAAGTATTTTTTATTCGAAAGTTGCTTCGAGAACTAAAAGCAATCTCTTTCTCAGATCAATAACTTTCTACTGGTTATTTTATTTTTATCAGACATCATTTTAGACACCGAAGTTATTTTTCTCGTTTAATTATTCATACTAATTTCTATATACATCGATCTTATCATGAATCAATGAAAGAGAAGAGATAAACGATTATAACCAAAAGATGTATTTTCAAATTCATTCCAGAGAAGAAGTTCAATTTTTGTTCTTTCTTCCGATAAATATAAAAAAATGTTTTTCCAAGTACTTTTCAATCGCTCAAGTGGTCATTCGTTAAATTTATCACTGCTCGAAGTTTATTATTTCTCCTTGAACATCCGTATCTATTATATTATTTCAAAATCTAAAAATGATGTTGATCTATCTTAGATAAGATAATTAACAATTTTGAACAATACTGTTAATAAATTGAAATTGACATGGAATTTTTCATAGTCTTGACTTTTCAAAGTTCGTATTGGAAATAAGCTTCGATAAAAACTTATTTTTTTATAATAATAGATGGAAATGAATGGCGAAAAACAGGAAAATTTAATATTTTTCATCAAATTCATTAAATATCGATTTATGTACAATTAAAAATAGTTTTATTTACAAACATATGACTAAAAAAGTTCAGCTGTGAACAAAAATGAGTTTGTGCCCTCTGTTGGATACATGAAAAACATAAGGAGGCACTATACTAAACACTGTCTGGCATTGGTTGTTTTCTTTTAACCATTGATAACATTCCAATGAATTATGTTTTGATATTGATTATTACTTTAAAAATTGATTTTCTTGGCCAATAAATGTATTGCATTCTTTTTCTGTTCAAATAGATTTGATTGATTGAAATTTCGAAGACTAAAAATGGATGAGCCACCATCGAATTGGGATCAACAAGAGGAAGAAAATGTATCATTATCATCAGCAACAACAAAGCTTTCTGCTTTGAATGTCAATGCTAATGAATTTGTTCCATCTTTCGGTTCAGGATTTTCATTTGGCTCTAAAGCAGCAAATCTTCCAGCAGCACCACTACCTAAAACTCCACCATCAACACCTGTTGTTAATCGACATACAAGTGAGCATGACGGCAACCAAGTGGCAGCAGTTACTATGAGCACAAATCAAATCGAATCCAATGATCAACAACAAATAAAAGAAAATGTTTCTACAGGAGAAATCGATGAAATTTCTGAGGACCAAAATGAAAGTTCGTTTTCAATGATTTATATGTGTTCAAATTGTGTTAATATAAAAATTTAGGAATGATGGATGATTCAACAGCAGCGACAACAGCAGCAGCAACAACAACAACATCAGTAAACAAAGCAAACACAGCTACTAGTTCAACAGTTCCAAAAGAAAAGAAAAATTTGATTATTAAACGAGATATTGTAAGAAAAAAAGAACCTGTCAATATTGTTTTTTGTGGTCATGTCGATGCAGGAAAATCCACAATCGGTGGACAACTTATGTAAATTTGACATAATTTATCAATGAAATCAAATACTTTTATTCGTTTTCTTTTCTATTAGGTTTTTAACAGGACAAGTTGATAAACGAACATTAGAAAAATATCAAAATGAAGCTCGTGAAAAATCTCGTGAATCTTGGTATTTATCATGGGCATTAGATACAAACGAAGAAGAAAGAGACAAAGGAAAAACTGTTGAAGTTGGTCGGGCTTGGTTTGAAACAGAAAAGAAACATTTCATCATTCTCGATGCACCTGGTCATAAATGTTTTGTTCCAAACATGATTGGTGGCGCATCTCAAGCAGACATTGCTATTCTTGTAATTAATTTCTTATTTGGAAAGATTTTTCTTATGAAATTCAAATTTTAGGTTATTTCTGCTCGTAAAGGTGAATTTGAAACGGGATTTGAGCGTGGCGGTCAAACACGTGAACATGCTATGTTGGTTAAAACAGCTGGTGTTCGTTATTTAGTTGTTCTTATTAATAAAATGGATGATCCAACTGTTAATTGGGATCAAGCAAGATATGACGAAATTCGTGATAAATTAACGCCTTATCTAAAAAAATGTGGCTTCAAGCCTGGTGAAGACACTGTTTTTATGCCCTGCAGTGGAATGAGTGGAGCAATACTTAAAGAGCATCCTGGAGAACATATTTTACCTTGGTATAAGTAAGTTTTCATTAAAAAAAAATTATCAATACAAAATTTTGTTTGTCTATAGAGGACCAAATTTTATTGAATACTTGGACAATATACCATCATTTAATCGTAGTATTGATGGTGCACTTCGGATGCCTATTGTTGAACGATACAAAGTATATTTTTCGTTTTAATTTTTCTGTCGTATAAAATAAATATATTTAACATAGGAAATGGGTGTGATTGTTATGGGTAAAATTGAGTCTGGATGTTGTCGTGTCGGTGATCGATGCTTAATTATGCCGAATCGAACACGCGTTGAGGTTACAAATATTTATTATGAAGACATTGAAACTGATTCTTGCGTTTGCGGAGAAAATGTTAGGCTTAAATTAAAAAATGTTGAAGAAGAAGTAAGTTTCGTTTTCTCTTATTGATTATTATTATTATTATTATTTTCAGGAAATTTCAACTGGATTTATTCTATGCGATACTCAACAAGAGCCATGCGGAGTTGGAAGAGTTTTTGATGCACAAGTAAATCCAATTAAAAAAATGGTTAATAAAGTATATTTTTATATTTCTCTACTATAGGTTGCTATCCTTGAGCATAAATCAATCATATGTCCTGGCTATTCGGCTGTTCTTCATATTCATTCAGCTGTCGCTGAAGTTCAACTAAAAAAACTTATAACATTAATTGACCGTAAAACTGGTGACAGAACTCAAGAACATCCGAGATTTATTAAACAAGATCAGGTAGCCATAGCTCGGTTTGAATTATCACAATCGGGACAAGCTATTTGTATGGAACCATTTAAACATTTTCCTCAACTTGGTCGGTTTACATTAAGAGATGAAGGTCGAACCGTTGCTGTTGGAAAAGTTCTTAAGATCATCGAGTGAAAGTTCTTCTTTTCATCTCTTTTTGTTGTTACTTCATATTTATTCTTACAAAAAGAAAAAAAGCTAAAATGTCACTAAATAATATTCCTGTTACGTAGCTCGTCCTAAGAAGAATTCAAATAAACATTTTTTTAGCATCGAAATTTATTATTTATACAGGTAGTGTATTTGTCAGCAGTAAGCGATAGTCGAAGAATGAAAGGGAAAGAAAGATTTTTTTTCTCATTGATGTAGGAATTTTTGATATCATTTGTGATACAAAATCAGGAACGCTAAAGCGGATGTATTGAGATCATAGTCGACTGTCGACTGAATTGGTAGTTAAAGATTTTGCATACTGTGCTATTCGGTATAGTAGTAGTGGTTATCCTTGGCAAGCACCGCAGTACGCACAGTAATAGGTGCGATGACAGATCTTCAATTGTCGGTCGTGCCAAATACCGTTACAAAACTAATTATAATCATGGTCGCAACATATCAGTTATTAGGTGAGGGAACATGATAGAAATCTGGTTTCCTGTATGATGATTTCTCGGGTAAATGTGCATCTGGTATACACTTTTGTCTCTCCACAATTCTTGAAATACATAGTGAACTATGAGTGAATGGCTAAAGACGACGAGAATATCGTGCTCAACTATTTCTAAGAAGTCTCTTGGAAACATTCTTAATCACTGTATTACTGCAAAATGATTCTATGATAATGTAACCTGTACAAGTTCATTACACGACTCCTTGACAGACATCTGATCTGGACTTGGCTAAGAGATACAAATAGGTGTGTCTAGAAGAGACCGCGATCCAAAAACCTCGAAAATCAGACTGTTTATTAGATATTTTTAATTACCACAATTAGAGATGTCATAATCCCGTTACACAGGATATCGAGAGTTGAACGTCACAATACTCAATAGCGTATTGAAGTAATGTGCATTGAATTATCGACCTATATCCTGCTACCAGGAGTATTTACCTCGTTAACCCAAACACTACATATATTTGATTATTTGTGTGATGATCTCGTTACACCAAAACAATTCAAATTCCTCAATTTTTAAATACATCATTCGTTTTTAGGAAACGAGGTGCTTATACTGTGAAATTTATAGTGTGAATGAACTATATATTTGTGAGTTGAGCAGCTTGTGTTGTTTTGATGCAACCAGATGTTTACACGCAAATAATGAAATATATTGATAGTTTACTTTTTTTTTTAAGTAAGAAGATAATTACTTCTGTAGCAAGGAGTAGGTTGATAAGCGAACGCACGTTACTCCAACACTGTATAGGGTATTGTGACACTTGGTTCTCGATACCCAGCGTAATGGAATTATGACATCTATTATGCAGGTCCGCACAAGATATAAATATATGAAACTAATTCTTCGAGATATGACATTCGACGAAGAAGAGGCATAACTACATTTTTCCTATCCTTGAGTATTATCATAGCATGTTAATTAAAACCATTTTAACTTTAGTAGATCATCCTGAAAAATACAACAAAATATTTATAACTTCAGCATTTTTAATCTTTTCAACCAAGAAATAAACTCACATCAATCACCATTAATTGAGAAATATCATTCATTTTTCGACATTCTGTTTTTTTTTTAAGTATTTCTTCTATTCTATGAAACCTATGGATTTAGCTAATCATAATGATTACTGTCTATATTTACTTGTTAAGTTCATACGCATAGGATTTGTAATGAACAATTCGACAAAATCATCAATCAAATATTATAAAAGATTAAATTTTCTTAACATATGTTTCAAAGCTTTCAATTAGAGTCATTGAATAGATCTTACAAGAAAATGAATTGTTCTTCTGAATAACTATGCTCATGCCAACAATAAAATTAAATGAAGTTTAAAAGAGAACTTGATTGATTCAATTAAATATTTATTTTAAAAGCAATTATATGTTAGTTTGTTTTAACATATATGAATAGGACAATGAAAAATACATTCTATCCGATCATTTAATAATGGCAATGATTGATTTATTATTATTATTATTCTGAAATGAATAGTGATTAATTCTCGAATAACATAAAACAATAATTATAACAATCCGTTTTATTTATTTTCTAATAATCCAAAAATAAAATACTCATATTTACTAACACAAAAATCTCATTGTTTCTTGTATTTCTCATTCATTTTGTTTTACTTTCAATATTAAACATGATTAATTAGAATACGATGATAATACGAAGCATACATTCACATGTTGTAAGATCTTGATGTCCACTGATGAATATGATTAAGTTGAACGATGACTGAAGTTAATTGTTTGAGATGACCATCAACTAAAGCAAGACAATCATCGAAATCATTTTCATTAATACATAATTTAGTAAATATTGAAGAGGTAACAGTCATTGGTGGTAAATTATCTAACAATAAAGCTGGATAATCATCGACTGATGATGACAAAATACTCAAATGCTTTATATTTTTAACGTAATTGAAGATATAATTGCATAAACATTCTTGATAGCGGGTGATGCAAAAGTTCCTGAAAAATATCGTTTCATTTTTCATCGACTAAACAACATGTTTTGTAAAAATAAAAAATACTTATTTAGAATCTACGTTAAAAGCTCTATCTTACTATATGTTCCAAAAATTTCTAGAATGTCTGGCCTTTGAGTAACGCTCGTGTTCTTAAATTACACTAAAATGTAGTTCAGCTGTAAAAAGCAACACATGATGGCTGCGAGAGAAGGAACCGATCTTTAAACAATCCCATAGTATTTTCTGCCAGGCTCATAGAGAATTAAACGGCGAATGTAATGAATAAAATAATGAAATAATGTATCATGGAACGAATAAAAGATATTCGAAAGCTACTGAAATATCAGTCCCTTCTCTCGCAGTCATCATGTGTTGCTTTTTACAGTTGAACTACATTTTAGTGTAATTTAAGAACGCGAGCGTTACTCAAAGGCCAGACATTCTAGAAATTTTTGGAACATATAGTAAGATAGAGCTTTCAACTTAGATTCTGAATAAGCATTTTTTTTATTTTTACAAAACGTGTTGTAGTCGATGAAAACTAATGCGACATTTTCCCAGGAGCTTTTGCATCGATATTCTTTATTTTCATTGAATTTTGAACGAGTCATCCATTTCTGTCTCTTAATATCAGGACCGTCTATTTTTGTTTATCTTTGCTATATGAAAAGACAATGTTACATTGCAATGCATCACTAATGCATTCAGCTGATTTAATTACTTACAAGTTCAATCAATCAGTATGTTGCTCCTACTTACGATAGATAATGATTTTTTTTTATTAAAAAAGTGATCAATGTCAAGCTTGGACACTTGTTTCTTCTGGCTCAGTCATAATGGTCACTGAATCCAAGAATTCCTGGACTAGTACCCGACCCGGACCCGGACCACTCTGAAAGAAGTGTTTCGGCTCAAAGTTCAACGGTCAATTTTCTATGGGTTCAGACTGGAACCGAACTCGTAAAGCTCTGTTTCATTTTCTAATATAAATTTGATTGTTGCTCATATTGACTGAATTATGTACATGAAAAAAATGAAAAACAGCATAAATTTATTTGAAAAGAAGAAATAAATTGCTGATTGAATAAAAAATTCAGACCAATCTATCAAATTTCACAAATAAGAAAAATTTACTAAATCATCTCCAATGTGACAATATTGTAGTATTGCTATTGTTATTGTTTGAATATTATTGAATGTACAGGCAATAGTGAAGTACCAGATAATATTTGACCTGATTTCTAGATTTATGATTGCAACTATGTGTAGATATTATAGTCGCAAAGAACTTTATTGTTTTCTTTTCTATTTTTTAGCAATGAATTTAATATTTTTTGGACTAACGTAAGATGGACAAGAATTTAAAGAAATAAAACACAAATTTTCCATCCAGAACTGAGTAGTGAAAATCTTCAGACTTGTACCCAATGGGCACTACTTAGTCACCAACAGCTGTTCGTGTAAATTAAAAATACAAAGCCTACTGCAACTAAGTAATATTGAATGTTACAACGCATGTCCCTAATTCGAACAGCTATTCACACACCTTCAGAGTTTCCTCTTTTTTCAAAAACTTTTCTGCAGAAACATCGATTTTTTACATTGTTGAGTAGAGAAATGTTTTCTCTACTCAATGATGTAAAAATCATTTTCACATCTTCAAAATTAACTCAGTAATTAGCGGTAGTTTCAGAGAAATTGAATTTGTCCTTATTAGGTGCCCTGTTCCTAATAAAAACAACAAGCAAAAAATGTTCCTAATTCGAATAGATTGTACAAAAAACAGAAAAAAAAGACTTTTAGTAAATGAAACTTTTTGATGTTTCAAATAGAAATTTTCTTTTTGCTTCCGCTAGAAAAAAGGGTGTGGGTGTGGGTTTCTAGAGAATCAAGGGAGAATCTTACTCACACCCACATCCTCATTGGCCACAGTATTTCTGTTATTGGGGGAGGGGGGGGGGGGGGCGGTTTTTTTTTTTAAAG